ACCATGTACCGGCTGGCCACACACATACAGTCCCACAAAACTGCACCCCCACATGCCCACTAGCTCATCAGACTCTGAAATGAGTCAAGTGCCAAGTCAGAGGGCCCAAAGGGGCATCCTGCGACAGGTCCCTCCACTTTCCCCAGCCTGGCCAGATGGTGGAGGCTGACAGGCCCCAAGGGAGCTCTCCATCACTGCTAACCCGCTGGCTGACAGGCAGGCACTGAGGCCTGGCTCTGCCAGAAGCAGGCTGGGGTGTAAGTAAGGAGGTAGTGAGGCTCCTCAGCCTCTCCCCTCAGCCCCCGCTGCCCCAGACCAGGATGGAGCCTGCCCCACGGTCTCTCATTCACACTCAGACATCTACAGGACCAGAAGGACCTGGATGCATGTGGGCATTCTCCCTCTAACAGCCGCAGGCACAGGGGCCCCTTCCGTAGGGTGAGCCACTCACCAGGCCAGAGCTGACCTTGGTGAGAGCCCGCCTCCCCTCTCTGACTCCCACCATCTAATCAAAACGGGCAGAAAACAATGGTGTGCAGGGACACGGATCTGAGAGTCCCAAAGCCAAAACACGTGCCTGTCAGTCTGTTCTTCCATCAGTCCGTCCAGCCTTGTTTCACTTTTATTCACTCAGTCCTTGTTTTTCATTTATTCACCTGCTCCTTCAGTCATTCAGCAAATAAAGACTTTAAACAAATCATGACATTCAGTCCAATGACCTGGCTGCCCTCCTGACATGAAGGCCTGGGGGTGCAGGAGCTGGGAAAGGGGGCCCGGGCTGTGAGGGAGAAGGAAGAGGAAGTGGAGGGGATCCCCTTCCCCTGCTTCTTGCTCAGTCTCTCAAATGAAAGAAAAGGGACTTCTGCAGCTGGAGAGAAAAAAACGCCAAATTCTAGGATAATAGATAATAATAGCTCACGCTTACGCACTGGGACTCTGTGCCAGGCACTGTTCAAAGTGCTTTACATGAATTAACTCAGTTCATCCTCATAACAACTCTGAGAGGCAAGTACTATTATTAACCCTACTGGGGGGCACAGTAGCTTGTCCAAGGTCAAATAGCTTGTCAGAGCCACCCCAAGTGTTTAAAGAACCTAGGGTAACAACACAAAAGGAGGTCCCCAGCCCTCCGCCCATGCCCTTCTCATCCTACCTTGGGCTCCATCCTGCAGTATAAGGGCCTTTGTATGGATGCCTGTGGGCACCCCAACACTCCAATCCCTGCTTGGTCCACACTCCTGGCAAACAGCCTCCCTTTGGGCTTGAGGAGGAAAGATGCGTGTGGGAAAGTGGCTCCATAGACCCTGGTAGTTGGCTTAGGTCTGCCTGGGGAGGGGATTCCAGGGTCGTGGGTTGGAATATAGTCTAGAAGGGGACTGGAGCTCCAGGCGGACCCATGAATCTTTGACTTCCTCGCCCCATGCAGAAGAGAGCCAAAGGGGGTCATCTAAAGTGGGACCCCAGGACATAGAGCTTGTTTGCCCAGGTCTGAGAATCCTGGGGACAGTAAGTAGCAGGTCCCAGATTTGGTCCCAGTCATTCCTGCCAGAGAGGCACTCTCCTGAGACTGATGGTGGCTGAGGGTGTGGGGAGGGAAGAGGTTGCTGAGTTTCACTTCCTCATCCGGACTCTGACCTTACCAAGTTGAGGCCATTTCCACCCTTGGGTGCACACCCAGCTCCATGTTGGGTGCTAGGGACTATTAAGGATGACTCAATTTTTTTTTTCTTATTGTAAATTGACCAATTATAGTTGTATCTATTTATGGGGTACAAAGCGGTGTTATGATTTTTTAATACACTGTGGAATGATTAAATTAAGCTAATCAGCATATCTAGCTCCTCAAATATTTAACATTTTTTTGTGATGAGAACATTAGAAATGTACTCTCTTAGCGATATTGGAATGAGTCCTCATCTTGTCACCCCTCCCTCTCCGTTTCTGCCAGTGTCCCCACCCCTCCTGCACCAGGGATGGGGAAGAAGTGGAGGCTCCTGGGATTGGACAGGGACCTTCGAGTCAACACCACGAGTCAACACCACCGGCTCCAGCCTCTGCTTCCCCAGGATTCCTGCTGGGCCTCCAGAGGCTTTTCCACCCAATTACCCAGGCCAGGAATTTCGATCTCTAGTGCCAGCCAGGCCCTTGTTATGCAAATATAGGGAAATGAGATGCAAACAGAGCCGTCCCAGATTAAGAGAGAAATCCCTGGCAGCTGGAGGAGTCACCTTAAAGTCAGTTCACCCCAGCTTCCTCAGTACCCCTCTCCTGGGCTCTGTCTGGCTGGGCCTGCCTGGGCCCTCCCCTTCCTGGCATTCTACCCCCTCAGAAGCCTGCTCAGACACAGGAAGGGGCTGGACAAGGGGGGCCACCAAGGCCCACCCAGCTTGAGATCTCTGCTCCCTCCCCTCACCTTAGAAAAATCCCAGCAGGGGTGGAAGTTAGTGGGGAGTGGCAAGTGCAGCTGAGACAGAGGGAGACCTCTATTTTGCCCTGTAGAAGAGGAAATTCACAAACACACACACACATACACACACACACACACACACACACACTCTCTCTCTCTCTCTCTCTCACAGTTGAGAGTGAGAGCAGCCCCTGCAATACCCACATATGCACTCATGCTGACAATGACACACGAGCCTCTCACATATGCACTCATGCTGACGACAATGACACACAAGCCTCGCAACACCACCCTACAGGCCTGGCCAAGCCCCCCTTCCCCGGATACCATCAATCAAAGACACTCAGAGGCTGCTGTGCAGAGGGCAAGCAGGCTGTGTCTCCGGCCTGAGGCCTGGTGGGTGGTGTGTGCTGCTGGTAGGCCCCTGGCTGTGTTTGAACAGAGGGAATGCAAGATCTCACCTGGAGCATGACCCCCGGGAAGGGGGCTGGAAGTGCCTGGAAGAAGCAGAAGCATGGTAGCTGCCCACCAGGGCCCCTGAGGGTGTTCAGGCTGGTGTCTATGCCCTGGGCATACCCGGGGGAGCCTGGCCCATGGCCGGCCCAACCAGCCCAGGCCCAACTTCTAAAAATAAGAGCCGAGAATCTAAGCCTCTGGTTGGTTCTGCAGGAGCCTGTTGCCTTGGCAACCCCTTCTCAGAGGCCTCCCTCCTGGCTGGGCTGTCCCGTTGGGCTGCGGGTCCCTGTGCCAGCCCCCCCCACACCACCGTGCTGGCCCCTCTGCCAGCCAGCCCTCTGCCCTGTCCTCTTGAAGGAAGGTGGGGTGTGGGGAGGGCAAGAGGGAGGACCTTAGGGACTCTGGCTGAGCTTGATGGCCTGCGTGTGAGACCCAGGCTGGGGCTGGCAGTGTCAGAGGCTGTGTGACTGTGGGGTTGTGACTGTGTGTGTGATAGTCCCTATCTTACAGCCCCTGGCAGGCTGTGTCCCTGGGTGTATATCAGTGCCTGTGACTTGACTCTCAGAGCCCCATTGATGGCTGCTCTCTCTCTCTGAGGATGTGTGTCCCTGTGTATGACAGCGTGTGCTCGTGTCCTGAGGGAGGGGCCTGGCCGGAGACTTCCTGGGCATGTCCCTGGGCATGCCCCTGGGCTCCTCTCCTCCCTGTGGGCTTCCCTCATTGCTGCCTGCCCCACCTTCCAGGGCTGGCAGTGCAGAGGTGATGAGGGTGTGGGGCGCTCAGGGTGAGCCGGGGGTCAGGCTGGGTGTGGTGGCAGGGCTGAGGTCAATGTCTCCCTGGCTCTGCAGCCTAATATCATAGAAGCCCCGAATCTGTCTATCTAGGGGAAATGGAGGAGGAAGCCTTCCCTAAAACTGCGGTCGAAATCTCTGAGCGTGCTCTAGTCATTGTCAGTAGCAGAGGCCCCCTCCCACCTCTGCCTCCACTCTCTAATTAATCACCAAGTCCTGTCCAATCTCCTCCTAATCACTGCTTCCAAGGCCCCTCCTCTCTTGGCCACCGCTGCCCAGCCCAGGCCAAGGGCCTCCCTCCCCAGGACGTGCAGCAGCCTCCCCACCGCTGGCCCCTGGGCCCAGGTTCCACATCTTGCCTCTATTTATCTCCCATGCCCCATCCCCTCACCATTCTGTGTCCGTGAAGATAAAACACAGCTTAGGTCCTGTCACGCCCCTGCTTGGGACCCATCAATGCTGCACTTTGTTCCTAGGGCAAAGTGTCAGCTCCTCAGCCTGGTCTTCCCTGGTCAGGCCTCTGCCCACCCCTGTCCTCTCCCTGTTGCTCCCTCACCCAGCCACAACAGCAACTGAGAGTTTCCAGAAGAGGCCAGGATCTCTCTTGCCTCTGTGCCTTTGCACATAACTATTGCCCAGCCTGGAACTGGAATCCTCCTTTCATTGGATAAAGCTTAGTCATCCTGGGACACAGCGCAGGTATTGCCTCCAACGGGAAGCCTTCCCTGACTGCCCACGGGCTGAGTTAGGAGCCTCTGCTTCTCCTAACATCCTGGGCTGCTTCCTCACCCCCACCCACACATTGCATATATTTCTAATGGATTTTCTCCCCCTGAAAATGTATAGATTTGGAAAAAACAGAAAAGTATAAATTAAAACAAAAAATCACCCAGAATCCTCTCAGATTACCTCTTAGTTTATTTCCTTCCAGTCTTCTTTAAATGAATTGATGAAATATTTTCTTTCTAAAATAAAGGCCATTCTATATGTATGGTTTTCTTTCCTGCTTTGTTTCACTTATCATTATATTGTGATCATTTGCCCAGGTTATTAAAAATTCTTCAAGAACATAGCTTTTTTTTTGCCAGGATGGAATAAGGTTTAATCCAGATAGTTAGTGTTCATCTTCAGGCTTGAGAGAAAAGAGGAGGGCTTGGCTACAGCCAGACCAGGAAGAGCTGGAGGGGTCAGGGACATAGAAGGGAGAATTGGGGAGCAAAAGAACTACAGGCGATGGACAGGCATTTCTAAGCTCAAGACTGGGTCTGCTAGGTCTGAGATGAAGGCTGAAGAAGCCTTGGTCTGAACTGCAGGTCAGGAGTGCCTGGGTCAATGAAGTCCACAAAGAAAAAGGTGAATCTTCATTTGCTCTTTCTTTCCACTGCAGCCCCAGAATGTTGACGCTGACTGTTGCTCTCCTAGCTCTTCTCTGTGCCTTAGCCTCTGCCAATGCCAGTAAGTGAGATACCAGGAGCCTGGTAAGGGGGACATGGGAAGGCAGCCTTGGGCACTGCTGTTGGCCAAGGCTTTTGGAGGCTGGCTTGGGGTGGGGGAGCTGGGATGTGGGAGGAACAGGGGTGGTGCAGAGAAACTCAACTCCTGGAAGATTTCTCCCTCTAACTCCTGCTTGCCCCTCCAGTTCAGGCCAGGTCTTCCTCCTATAGAGGAGAGTATGGAGGGGGTGGTGGAGAGCGATTCTCTCATTCTGGCAACCAGCTGGACCGCCTCATCACCGCCTTTCGGGTCCGAGTCAGCAGATACTACACTGTAGGGTAAGATTCTTTGAGATCCTGACTTTTAATGTTTGCATAATATCTTTATATATGGATATATCATAATTTATTTATCCAACCCTGTATTGCTAAACATTTATGTTGGTTATGATTTTTCATAGTTGTAAATAACAGTAATAAGCATCTTTGTACATGGTTCTTTTTAACAGCTGTGGTTATTTTTTGGATTGAGTTCCTCCAAGTAGCTTGATGGGACCAAAGGGTCTGTCTGTTTTTAAAGCTCTAACACACCTGCCCGGTGTTAGAGCTTTCTAGAAAAGTTGTTCTAATTTACCCTTTCATCAATGGAGTCTGAGAGCGGCCCAGATTTCAGTTTTCACGATACTGGTGCTGTCTTTAAAAAACGAAACAAAACAAAACAAAACCTGTCTTAATTTCAATAGGTAAAACTGCATTATACTGTTGTTTTGATTTGCATTCCTTTGATTACTGGGGAGGATCAACCTTTCGGATCTCCTCTTTCGTGTCATGCGTGCATCACACTGAGCTATAATTATATTTCACATCCTGCCTCTGCTTCACCAACCTCAGCTCTGAGGGTGGGAGCTTCGGAGTCCTGCATAGATTGAATTGAGGCCTCTGGCTTCAGTCTGAGCTTTGGCCTCAGGCAGACCTGGGGGTCGAGCTCAGCTCTGAGGCTTGAACTTGGGCAAATGGCCTTGCTTTTCTGAGCCTCAGTTTCCTCGTGTGTCAAGTGGGTTTGAAAGAGCACTCTACATGACGAGTATGGAGAGGTGTGTGAAGAGTTGTGAGCAGAGGCGAGTTTTTCAGGGCTAGGAGGCAGCGTTCTGTTCACATCCAGGAAGCTGACTTTGCTGAGGGAAGAGAAAATGTTCAGGAACTGCCAATTCCTCCTTCCCCAAGCCAAGATGGCACCCAGATGCCTCTTGGTCCAGAGGTGGATAGGAGCTCAGAGAAAAGTGTCCAGGCAAGACTGGGAAGGACCATGGCACAGCAGGCAGGCTTCAAGTTCAAGTTCAGCCCCGACCAGGGAGGTTCCTGTCCTTGTGGTAAGTCAAGAGTGACTCTGTTCATGTGTGGCAGGGTTTCCGTGTTGTGGGCTATTGCCCACACCATTGCCTGCTATGATGCTTTGATTGAATCACCATCGTTAGTGCCCACTGAACAGAGAGGGAGAGCATTTCTGCCCTGGTGGCACAGCATCTCTTCTGGAGACTGGCCCTCAGCCACGGGGAGTGTCTTGGAGACAAACCCCTGCTAGGGGCGCCCTCACACAGTCTGGTTCAGGACATATTCCAAGACAGACACGCACAATTTCTCCGCACATTACCAGACTAATGATACTGTCATTTGGAGTCTGGAAATGAGGAGAAATCGGCTCCTTCTCGGTAATTAATGTGAGCGATGGGCCTTGAGATAGAGTAGCAGCCCCCCAAGTGAGAACCAAGCTCTCAGGCAAGTCAGCCAGGTCATCCCCCTGCCTCTGGAAAGATCTGTGTTTCATCCCCAGCTTCTTCTTCCTGACACCCCTTGGATAGGTCAAGCCCCCTCCCCTTCCCCATTGGTCATTCCCTTAGGGATCACCTGAGCTCTGATGGCCAGGAGGTTCTTCCTTGAGCCTGCCCAGAGTCCTTCATGCTGCAGTTCAGTCTGCTCTGCTATAGTCCCATGAGAGCTGCCTTTGCTTTTTGGGAAGTCTTGGATTTAGGGGCTTTCTTTATCTCACTTACTGAAAGCAGAGGTGAAAACACCAGGGCGGGGTTGGTGGAGGTGGGTGCTTCAGATTGTGATGGTCTTCAGGAGGAAACCATAGAGGGGATGGGGGCAGGGTTTGGCTCCAATGGGCAGAGGCTGGAAGCTAAGCCAGCTTTCCTTTCTGAGAGAAGCATTCACTAGCTTCATAAATATTTCTCTGGGCCTCTGCCTCAGTTTCCCCACTGTGCTTGGGGGGGAAATGTTTTTGTCCTATCCCTTTGTCTTCTTTTTCCATTCACTTTTGGTGCTGGGTGAAGGAGACATCAAGTAAATCAGCGCCAGGCCCTGCTTCTTCTTTTTTTTTTGAGTTGGAGTTTTGTTCTTGTGCACCAGGCTGGAGTGCAATGGCGCGATCTCGGCTCGCTGCAACCTCCGCCTCCTGGGTTCAAGCAATTCTCCTGCCTCAGCCTCCAGAGTAGCTGAGATTACAGGCATGCGCCACCAGGCCCAGCTTTTGTATTTTTAGTAGAGATGGAGTTTCACCATGTTGGCCAAGCTGGTCTCAAACTCCTGACCTCAGGTGATGATCTGCCTGCCTCAGCCTCCAAAATGCTGGGATTACAGGCGTAAGCCACTGCACCCGAGCCAGGCCATGCTTCTAATCAGCTCCAAGTCGGGTGGGACAGGCAGACCCTGGTACAAAGAGCTCTTATATGGAGTGACCTGTGCCACAGAAGAAGGAGTTTACAGACAGAGCCCAGGGGAGAGAAGAACTGGTATTTCCTGGGGAAATCTGGGAGGCAGAGGAGGGGGCCTGGGAGGATGCGTTTGGTAACAAAAAAGGGGTGCTGGGAAAGCAGTCTGGGCAGAGGGAACAACACGGCCAAAGGCTTGGAGGTGCGACAGAGCTTGGCACAATCTGTAAATGGTGTCTAGCTCCCAGGGAACAGGGTGGATGCAGACGGGGGAAGGGAGGGAAAGCTGGAATGTCTACAGCGGGTTGGAACTTTATTCTGAGAGCACTGGGGAGACATTGAGGGTTTAAGGAGAGGAGGAATATGGGGTAGGTTTGTGCCATAGGGTGGTCACTTGGAGAAAACATCGACAGGGAATGGTTGGGGGATAGTAGTGGCGGCTACTGCTATGGTACCTGTGGTCCTGAACGAGGATGGTAGGTTCTAGAGATGTTAACAGGGCAAACCACATGGGACCCCATGGCAGGCTGTAGGTGGGATGGATGGCAGCTGGTGATCCAAGATCCCGAGTTTAAGATGAGTCCCAGCATAGTCCACTCCTTTCACCCTGAAGCCTTGGTGGCTCCCAAGGCCTCCAGGAGAATGTTCAAATTTCCTGGAATGACAGTCCCAGTCTGGCCCTATATATCTCTGTGGCCTCAGCTCCCCTACCTTCCCGTGCTCTGGTCCACCTGGTTTCTCCATTAGCCTTGAGCTCCTATGGCTTATTCCAGCATCCAAGCCGATGCTCACATTAATTACTGTTCCCCTTCCCCATGCTGTCATCCCTCTTCTCTCCCTCCCCAAATCTTCCCCATCTTCTCACTAAAGCCAGCCCTGTAGGCCTTGGTGCCCCTCCTCCTTCACTTTCACCTTCCCTCCCTTTCCTCTACCCTCTTCACTTAGCACAGGCCTGGGCTGACCATGTAATCAACATAAACAGTTGCCTAAAGATCCTATAAGGAGAACTGCAGGCCTTGGCCCTGATTAGACCAGAAAGCTGGCTCCCATCCTCCAGGGGCCCTGACAGGGCCAGGCCAGGGGAACAGTCTTGTCTGCAGCTACGTTCCTCGGCCAACGGAGCTGTCATTATTGCTCCAAATTAGGCACCAATTTGCCCGTGTAATTGTTTGCTAATTAGCATGAAATCCTAATGTAATTAGTTGGGCCCCTTATCCGGGAGCCTGGGGAGCTGGAGGCAGTGGGGGGCCGCAGGCTGGGGAAATGGTTGTTTGAGAGAGAATGCCCTGAGCTGCCGTCAGGGCTGAGACAGGGAGTGATAGAAATTCCGGAATCTCACAGTTGAAAGGACCTTTGGAGAGGCTAGCACTTGCTACCACCTTACAGAGGGGGGCACTGATAACAGATAGAGCGAGGAGCCTCCTAGGAGCTGGTGGCACAGCTGGACCAAACATCCAAGCCATCTGTTTACACTGACCAGAGCTGTGCCCTGGCTGAGGGTGAAGATGACACGGCCTGTGGCTCTCTGGCATTTGCTTCTAAAGGAGGGAAGCAGGAAGAGTGGGTGGGGTGTGGTGTCAGCCCACCTTATTTTTCTTTGAGACAGGCTCTAACTCTTAATGTCCAGGCTGGAGTGCAGTGCAGTGATCTTGGCTCACTGGAACTTTGATTTCCCAGGCTTAAGTGATCCTCCGGCCTCAGCCTCCCAAGTAGGTGGGACTGTTCACATGCGCCACTACGCCTGGCTGATTTTTGTATTTTTATTATAGACGGGGTCTCGCCATGTTGCCCAAGCTGGTCTCAAACTCCTGGACTCAAGTGATCTGCCTGCCTCAGCCTCCCAAAGTGCTGGGGTTATAGGTGTGCACCACTGTGCCCAGCCCAGCCCACCTTTTAGGTAGGAAATGCAATGGAAAGAGGGCCTAGGCAGGATGCCAAATTGTTAGAGCTGGAGGAGCAGCAGGAACACAGAAGAGGTTTCCAGAGCTTCCTGGGGAATGACTTGGGTGTCCAGAGGGAAGATGGGGAGGCCAGAATGCTTTCCTCCCTGACTGTCAGGCAGATCTCCTCACTGCCACTTTAGGCTTTCTGCCTCTCCCCATCTCTCTGGAAAGGGTCTGGAGAAGGTGCTAGAGCCAGCCCATACCAGCTTGTGAGAGTGGACTGTTAAATTTTTAGGAATTTTGCCAGCCAGTTAACTTCACATTGGTAATATAAATTGGCCACCATGGGAGGATTTACACCATGGAAATTGGCAAATGCTGCAAATCAGGGCTGCACTTCCCTGCCCCTAAGCCAGTTGTTGAATGGTACCAGCATACCACTGAACCCACCTGAAATGTGGTGAAATAGCCCCAGCTATTTCGGAAAGAGGAGCAGCTGCTCTCAGGACCATTCTGGGGATGCCACATTAGTCACGTGGTCTCCATTCCCCACTCCCCATCCCTAGCATCCAGTCTCCCCAGAGTTGACTCTCACACCTCGGGTTGCTTCCTCTTCCCCTGCCTGCAGTTATCCTCTGCATCACTTCCCAGGGTTCAATTCTCTTTACTCCCTATCATTTATTTTTTAGAGTTGGGGTCTTGCTCTGCCCAGTCTTACTCTGTACAGGCAGTGGTCATGGCTCACTGCAGCCTTGAACTCCTGGGCTCAAGCAATCCTTCTGCTTCAGCCTCCTGAGTAGTTGGGACTACAAGGGTGCACCACCATACCTGGCTAATCTATTTTTTTGCTGAGAACAGGTTCTCGATATGTTGCCCAGGCTGGTCTCAAACTCCTGGGCTCAAGTGATCCTCCCCCCTTGGCCTCCCAAAGTGCTGGGATTGCAGGTGTGAGCCACCGCGCCCGGCCTCTTTAATCCCTATCTTTACCCAGATCTCTCCTGTTTCCTGGACACTGTCTCTGGATGTCCTGAAGGCACCTCAATGCAGCATGTCTAAAATAGAAATCATCGACTTCCCACAGTCTTTCCCCATCTGAGTAAATGGCACACTCCCCCTCAGGGCCTTTGCACTGGCAATTTCCCCTATTTGAACAGCTCTTCCTCCAAATATCCCTCACGTCCCTCAGGAGTCTGCTCAGATGTCACCTTCTCAGAGACACCTTCCTTGATCACCTTTCCTAAAACAGCCCCCATTCTCATCCGCCACTTCTGCCCCCTTGCCGGACACTCTTTTCCCTCTTCACACTTGTCCACACGAACATGAGTGTTCGTGTCTGCCTCCCTTTTCCCACCAGAAAGTGAACTCCACATAAACACAGCAGTTACGTGATCAGGTTCCAGACGTTCCTTAGAGTCTCGGAACTGTTCAACTGATTGTATCTGTTCGGCTCACTCAGTGCCGGACACTTTTAGTAAGCTCCCAATAAATAATTCTTGAATGAATGAATGAGCCTCCAAGCCAGTCCCCTTCTTCAATCCTGACTCTTCAAATCCACCTTCCATTTGCCCCAATTGTTTCTTAAACAAACTTGACTATGATTTATTTCCGTCCAAAACCCTTCATAGATCTCTTTTGCTTTCAGAATAAAATCTACCTCTGGTTTGGCTTACAAGGCCCTCAGTGATGTATTTCCAGCCTAACCTTCATTACACACATCTTCCCCCAAGCATACGCACCACATACACACACACGCGCGCACGCGCGCACACACACACACATGCACACACACACATGCATGCACACAGTCGTGCACACAGCCTGGGTATACTATTTCTGCCTCTTCTGTACAGTGCTCCCTCCTTTCTTAAGTGGTCCTGCATTCTCTGACTCATTTACTGCTTTCCTTCATTCCATCAATATGTGTTTTAAATGGAGTAGACCCTTGGTGCCAGGCCCATAGCTGAGCATTACTGGGAGGAGTCAGCCCACACCCCTTCTCAAAATGCTCCCAATCTGGCAGGGAAGGAGGCTGCGAAGTCATCACTCCATCTGCAGTTCCTCCTTTATTGTCCTTTGGACATCCTGACATCACCATCATGCCAGGTCTCTGTGGCTGGGGGAGGGAGGAGCGTCCCCATGAAGAGGCAGCCCCTGGCCCTTGCCTACTTCTGGCTTCGGTGTGGCACCTGATGGAAATGACTGGAGTTGGGGTCTGCTTTTTCCTGTTAATCCTTGACTGAGAGCTTCAGGGAGGCAGGATGGAGGGTGAACCACCTCTGGTTCTCCAAAGCTGTTGGAGTGGAGGGGACCCTGAGTGACTCAAGGCTGCCCCTAGTCTCTGGGACTTCTGAGTCTTGGCCTTCTTCAACCACAGAGTCCAAGACCCAGGGAGAGGTGGGGTTGTTTGAGTGTGGGGTGTGCACAGATCGGCTGAGTCTCTGGGTCAGGTGTATGTGTGTGTGTGCACTCCTGGGTGTGCACCGGTGGGTTTGTCCCTGAGCCCCGTGCCAGGGGCCTGTCCCAGACTCCTGTGCCAGGTCAGCTGTGCTGGGGAACGTGGTGTGTCTGAATTATGGCAGTGTGTGCATGGTTGCCTCGGACCCCGGTGGTCCTTCCTGCACTCTAACTTGAGTCTCCAGCTCAGCAACAAGACATGGATCTCACAGCGAGCAGGCCCATTGCCCAAGACGGATGAGCTGCCCCCAAGCCCTCAGCAGAGCGAGAGCGTGAAGCCGGCACCGCTGGGTCCCTCCCGATAACGGCCCATCCTCTCCGGCCATTGCCTCGGGAGTGCCCATTGAATGCCCGTGGGTCAGCGAGCGGGGCCGCTGGAGGAAGGGGCGGGTGTGCCCAATGCTTGCAGTGGGCCCGGGGTGCCTGGGAGGAAAGGGCCATTTGCTCAGCACCCTTCCAGCGCCCAGAGAAGGCCCTCACGGGGCGGGCACACAGCGCGTAGCGGGTGGGCGGTACTGGCCGTGGGGGGACACAGGGCGTGCTTAGCCCCCGGCACCCACGCTCCCTGGCGCGGCGCCCCTTCTGCACACTCACACACACTCATTCCCACAGCTACACATTCACACACTCCAGCACTTGCAGGCGCAAACGACAGGGGCACACCACGACACAGACACCCAAGCACACACATGCATCGGCCAGAACACGGACACACAAAGGCACAGGCAGGCTCAGAGACTTGTCCCTGAGTTACACATAGCCCAGACTGGGATGCACACACACAGATGGGAACGCTCTCCTGCACGTGCACAGACACACGGACACACCCGCACACACGCGCCCCGGCAGACGCGCACAGACACACGCAGGGCCTGGCATGCCGATACACACAGACAGGCTCAAACACAGACTCGGTCCTAAAAATACGCACTTACAGAGGCAAAGGCTTGCGCGCAAGCACGCACAGACACACCGACAGGCGACCCACGACACCGCACTCCCTGCCACACTCACAGCCCATGCCAGGGCTCGCACACGGCCTCACGGAGTACAGTCATAAAACACCCCGACACACGCCACACATGCAGGCGCGCATTCGCGGACACACAAAAGCGCCACACACACAATCGCGCAACGCAGACGCACTTGGGCCCCAGTTGCCTTTGAAATTCAAATTCGCGCTCCCTTCCGCGGCTCCCAGCCGCGGCGCGGCCCCACACACGGGCCCGGGACTCACTACGCCGCCAGCCCTGAGCGGAAATTAACATTCATTTCAGGTGAGACCCGCACAAGGTGTGGGAAGCGTAGGCGGCTTCCGGCGGTGGGGCCCTTTGTGAGGGTAAGGGGTAAGGGCACCATAGGAATAGGAGCCTCTGTCCCTCCATATGTGACCTTGACCCGATGGCTGTGCAGCCTCAGGGTTCCCTCACAAGGGGGACCTCCAGTGGAAAGTCAGGCTCACAGCTGGCCCAGCTGGTTCTAAGGGAGGGCCCGATGGAGGATTCAGCCTGGGAATAGGAGAGGGTTTCCAGGGGAGGATTACTTCCCAAAGTCTCCAAAGACAAGAATTCCAAGGCCACAGATACAGATCTGCAGAGATGCCCCACAGTGCATCCAAACCCCTCATCCAGACAGATATAGGACACCCAGACACACATACCCAACAGTTTCACACACAGATCTCCCTGGAAGTTGAGGGCCTGCCAGCACCGCCAGGCACACACAGAGACACGCACCTCAGGCTGGCACAGACACATGCCACTGACACACAGACGTGGTCACACTGGGGCCTGCGAATGCCATGCACCCTGACTCACCAAAGGAACAGACACACACAGGCCTGCAAACACTTTCCACACACACACACACACACACACACACACACACACACACAGGCTCAAGCACACACTGAACACAAGGAAACACTGCACTCTGGCTGCACACAAACTCCAATGACATGCAAATACTGCCCTGTCAATACACCTCACATTTGCCCAGACACAGTAGAGGCCAAATCCCGGCGTCATATGTGCGTATGCGTTCTACCCCATGCGTACACACAGACAGAAAAGAAATGCATGAACACGCCACACACCCTGCAAACAAAGGCACACACTTGCACATGCAGCAGAGATCCCAGAGCCAGGTCCAGGCTTCTGACGTACAAAGTCTAGGCAGACACACACGAAAACTGCACACAGGCACGCCATAGACACACACAGACTCTCCCCCTACACATTGACGCACACAACCACCCACACGTGTACCGGAACTCAGCCCCACTCACTCCCACTCTGACACACAGAACGTTCACTTGGCGAGGTGCTCCAGGGCCCTCCCCTTCAACCACAAGGCTCTGGAGCCTTACACCCCTACCCATGCTCCATCCACAGGCCTCACCCCCAAGCCTGGGACCCTCTGAGGTCAGAGTTGTGCCAGGATTGGCCGTGAGCCGGAAGCACCGCTCCCTAACCCTGCGGTGATTGCTTTATTACCAGCATAGGGTGGTGTACGTTCCTCTCCAGCAAGAGCGACAGATGTCCTCCTGGGGTGTGTCACTGTGTGGTCCTGTCGGTAAGGAGCGTGGTTGTGCCAGCCAGGGAGGCCTGTAGGTGTCACCAATACTGCATCTCGTCCTTTTCAGCACCCTCAGCAAGTCTGGTTGTCTCCCCCAAAACCTAGGGGTCCAGCCTCAGCCTCTTCTAGCAGGTGTCAAGCCCTGGGAGTCAGAACCCCACTGACCAATCTCTCACCTCCAGGGAGCTGGTCTTCTCTGGAAGATCAACTCTAATCTCAAAATAAATTGTTTCAAAAGTTGGTGCCTGGTCTGTCCTCTGGAGGGTAGCAAGGAGGACCAGGCCCAGCCAGGCCGAGGCAGAACTGAAGCAGGGCCTCGAGCAAACCCTGAATGGGGTGGAGGCCTGCCGCTTGTCTCAGCCTCTCTGTAAACCAGCTTCCTCATCTGTGAAATGTGGGTGACCAGACTGATTGCAAGGGTTGTTCTGAAGGCTCATTTGAACAATAAGTGGAGAGCGGCTGGCACAGTGTCAGGCCCACAGAGGGGCTTGGCTGAATGAGCCGGTGCCTACAAACCTCTAGGTCACTGCACCCCTGCCTGCTAAGCCCATGTGTCCTGCTTGGCACAAGCCCAATTCAGCAGGATCCAGGTGGCACAGAGCCCAGGAGAGAGGACCTGGGGCATCCCAGGCAGTGAAACACACTGCCCCCCTCCCCCGCTACTGCCAGCGTGCCCCATGCCTGCTGAGAGTGTCCCAGCCCCTCCCTGAGGGATGCTCCTCACCCCCGCCCATGGCAGGAAGCTGGGAGCAGCTCTTCTTAGGTGCCTCTGCATCCTGCATATCCACCAGCCTCAGGATGTGGGTACAGGGGATGGTGCTGCCATCCCTGGCTGTCTGGAATGGCTGCCAGGGCTCATTGACCTTAAGGCCTACAGTAGGGGAGTGTGGGATTAGACCTTAGGAAGAATTTACCAAGGGGGAGTGCCTGGGCTCCCTCCTGTGAGGGACTGTGTCTGACCTCAGTCTAGAGCCAGAGGTGGTAGGACTAATCAATAAGCCAGACGTATCCTTACTGGACCAGAAAAATGGAGAGGGCTTGTGTCCTGGGGTTGTGTGTACGTGGTTATTCATATACTTGTGAATCCCAGTCAAGTATATATGTCTAAGGACTGGCAACTGTGTTAGTATGTAGATATGGCTTTATCTATACATGCAGACGTGTGTGTGTGTGTGTGTGTGTGTGTGTGTGTGTGTTTACACAGACATGGAAGGCCAAAAAGGAAGAGGAACTTCCAAATAAGGAGAGGAGGTGCTGCAGAGAAGTGGATTCAGATTCAGTTTCTCTCCAGGGATCCCCCACACACACTGTCCCTGTCACTCTGGCAAAACCTTGGCTCCTCCCTCCTTCTCTGCAATGATCTCAGCAGATAAGAGCTCCTGCTGGTACACCTCTCTTCCTTTTGGGGATGTGGGGGTTGCTGGGAAGGTGTTAAGGTTAGGGCCCCAATTCTGAGTGATCGCCGTGTCCCCAGAACCCAGAACAGCCCATAGCCCTAGTAAGTCTGAAAGGGGCCCACATTCCTGCAGATGCCATCTACATGCAGATGGCATCTAAGCATAGCACTGTGTGAAGCACTTCCTCTTTTTCATCTGATGTGAACCACATCAGCTCTGCTAAGTTGGGATCATTGTTTCCATTTTACAGAAGAGAAAACTGAGGCTTGGATATCATAAGTGATCTGTCCAAGGACACACAACTGGTGAGGGACAGAGGCAGGAATCCAGGTCTGTGTGACCTCAGAGGCTGAATCCTTTCTGGTTCATCACGTGGAAAACTGTGAGCCAGTGTTTTACTGTACAAACATCAGTCAGGGGTCACAGATCGAAAGCTCTGTGAGAACAAGGTGTCTGCTTGCCATTTCACCATTCATTCACTCAGCAAATATTTGCTGAGTACTTACCTTGTACCTGGTGCTGCGTGCCACGGGCTCCAGCTGTGAATGGATGGACAAGGTCCCTTACTTCATGGAACTCACAGTCCAGGGGGGCAAAAAACAGGTGACATTTGTGTAAATAAACAACGTGCTTTCAGAGCAATGAATACTGCCAAGGAAATATAGCAGGGATGTGGGATGAAGCAACCGGGGGTGGGGCAGGGCTAGTTTAGGAGTGTGGTCAGGGTAGGCTCCCTGGAGGAAGTGATGATGGAGCTGAGACCTTCTTGATAAGGAGTCAGCCATGGGAATTACTGGGGGAAGGGTTTGGAGTTTTCTAAGAGCAGCAAGGAGAGCTGTGTGGCTACAGCATAGTGTGGGGTGGGGGTAGGGGACTGGAGATGGTCTGAGAGCCTGCTAAGGGCCAGAACATACAGGGTCTGGAAGGCCACATTGTCAAGTGCAGTGGGAAGCCACTAGAAGGCTTAAGAGGTACCCTGATTTACATTTTTAAAGAGATGGCTCAGTGGGCTCCAGGAGAATGGGCTGGGGTGGAGTAGGTAGGAGTGGGAGCTCAGAAATTAAGTAAGGGAGAATCTAGGCACTGAATGACGGTGGCGTGGACTACCCTGTTGGCAGTGGGGATGTAAAGAGTAGATAGATCTGGGATATTTTGGGAGGTAGAAGCAACAAGACTTGCTGATGGCCGGGATCCCAGTGCCTAGAACATAGTAG